AAAAAAAAAAAAGGAAAGAACAAAGAAAGAACAAAGCTGAATAAACGAATTAATGGCGTTTAACGTACGTATTGTGCTATTTTTCTGTAACCTATTTATTTCTGTCTATTTATTAACCAAAAAAAAAAAATAGTTTAGAAGTAAAGTAATAAAAAACTTTTTACAATTTATTTAGTTTATAGTAACAATAATTGAAAAACTGTTCTTTATTTACTCTTTTTGATTTTGCTTAAATTTTGAGTGTAATTCAGTTCTTCATTAAGTTTTAGGAATATTTAAAAACTTTAGTAATATTTGGATAATTTATATGTTATAAAAGTTAAAAAATTTTTTTTGTTTAGTTTTTTTTCCTACAAACATTTTTACCGTTTTCATCACTTCTCATATATCTGTTCGGTTTTGTTAAACATTGTTTCCTCTTTTTGGCTGCTACAGAAAAGGGTGGAAATTTTTTAGAGGTATTCAGAGTTTGTTTCTTTTAATGTTGTTGATAAAAATCTTAGATTAAAAAAGGACTTATTAAATTGATTCACTGACTTTGCAGAGGACAGAGAGAAGAGAAGGAGGGAAGGCACAGAGGCACAGTTAAAAAAGTGAGTGCCTCATCATTGGCTTATTGTACTTCTGATACGTATTTTTTGAACAACTGAGAGAGAGGTTGCATTTTTTAAAATCTTTCTAAATATTCATTCATTTTTTTTTGTTTCTTTTCTTCTTTCTCTTTCTTCGTCTCTCTCCTCCTCCCTCTCTCCCTCTTCTCTTCCAGCAGTTTTGTTCTCCTAACACTTTTCTTTGCTACTGTTTTGAATTTTGTTCTCTTAGTTTTTTTTTTTTAGGACCAAAGTATCGTTTGGGTTTGGTTATTTTGAGAAGGAAACGAGTTGACGTTTTACATTTAATTTCCACCATTCTTGTTTTTTATTACACTAACTGCACGTTAATTACTGATAATTTACAATTATTCCAGTTTTGCTGCATGTCATCTTCCCCGCTGTAGGCACTTCTTTTATACATATATTTTTTGTCTTATGCTAGTTTTAAAGAAATTTCTTGAAAAGGCGAAAAAAAACATAAATAATGAAGTTAAGTATATTTTCTGCAATTGTTTTGTTGTGTTAATCTTGCTTTCTTTTTTATTTTTGATGTTTCGAATATAGCAAAAACAGATTGCATTTGGAACTGATTTTTAGATATAGTTAAACAATTGTTGATTGATGCAAGTAGTCTGGACTAGAAATCAAAGGGACAGATAGAAAGTAAAAAGCGGGAAGAGACTTTTAGATAAGCTTTTAAACTGTTTTTTTCAACGATTCAATTAGAATTAATATTGACTGATTGATAATTGCAAAGAGTTCTTACTTTAGTTTTTGATTTTCATTGTTCTTATGAATTCTGTGTTTTTGTCTGTTTCTTCTGTCTTTTACGTATCTAAAGAAAACAGCTGAACTGTTTGCGCTAATCAATAAAGTTAGATGGTTTCTAGTAAGCTCAGTCAAGTTTTTCTAGAAACTTCTTTTTTTTTTTTTTTTTTTTTTTTTTT